ATTTTAATCTATATATTCATTTATTCGATGTCCAAAAGAAGCAGTGCTCAGCCGATATTCTGCCACTTTCTCAGATTAAAATTAAATGAACTAGAGACGGTCCATCTCCAATTGTTATATTAGTTCGAAGTACACAAGTTGTACTATATACTGATGTATTTTGTAAAAAAGACCCGTTTTAGTTTTTGAGATATGCAGCTCTCAATATTGATGATTAACGTTTGACAAATCATAAACAACTTTCTTCTCTTATGTTCAGCAGTTAAATAAACTCTTTCTGACCACCATGACTTTCCGGCTTTCTTTTCGGGTCATGATAGTCAGAGATAATGTGTGTTCAAATAAGTAAAAAACATAATGAAGTCAAAATCATTTTCGCGAAGATAGGCTCATCTTGTTTCACATTTTTCTAATCAGAGAGATTAGTGAAACATAATCTCATAAAAGGATGATTTAATTATAATAATTAGCTCAAAATGATAACAATCAGCTGTCATCTTCTTTACAGTCTACACATTCGTCTAGGGCAATCATTGCCCTAGACGAATGTGCTGTTCACCGTCGGTGCGTCTAGTAGTGCTCCTGCTCCTGCATGAGAGATATTAATACCAGAAATATACAGATAAGTCAGTGTTACATTTATTTCCAGTGCATCTGCCACTGCTGCATATTTATATTGATGGAACCGCCGGTACAGGAGCAGTGGCACTGGCAGTTGCACTGAAAGTGAATCGAACACTGACTCAGCTGGATATTTCGGACAATGAAATCTGTGACGCAGGAGCAGTAGCACTGGCAGATGCACTGAAAGTCAATGTGACACTGACTCAGCTGAATATTTCTGCTAATGAAATATGTCATGTAGGAGCAGCAACACTTGCAGGTGCAGTGAAAGTGAATGGAACACTGACTCAGCCGTATATTTCGAACAATGAAATCTCCAAGTCAGGAGCAGAAGCACTGGCAGATGCACTGAAAGTGAATAGAACACTGATTCTGGAGTTTTCCAGTCAAGTTGTATTCCGGTGATGTTAGTGTTACGTTAATCATCATTTTTTATACTACATGTATTTTTGTAGTGGTGTTACACTTTCTTTTGTCACATTTAAAATGTACGGTTATTCGTCCTTCTTTCTTACAATCGTAATCTAAGCTTCGCCGTCAGTGCACGGTAAACGACCGCATTAAACTGTATGTATTACAAAGGGGCGCTGATGCTGTTTATTGAAGAACAAATAACTGAGAGAGTGATGTGGGAAAACAAAAGAAGTTATTTTATTCCGGAAAGCTTAAATAGTCAGTTTTCCAAATCGTTATAAAAGCCGCTATTTGGAACAAATGAACAGCACGTGCTCTTTTTCTACAGATGGCATTTGTTTTAAGCAGAGGGTTGTTCTTGACCTAAGGACGAGGGCACGTGGGTTATACCTCATATCGGACCCTCATAGCAACATTTTCACAAAAACAAACCAGCAAATCAACCATTAGATCACACAAGAAGCCCCAAATCAATCGTTAGGCAAAAGTTGCAAGCAACTTACTCTATTGTGAGGTTATAGATGCGTTTGAATCACAAATGCAATGCAGATCAAATGTATTGGTAGATGCATCGAACGAGAGTAGAACACTGACTCAGCTGGATCTTTCTGAGCACGAAAAGTCTGCAACAGTAGGGGCATCACTGGCACATGTACTGAAAGTGATCCAGGAATCTCTGCTGCAGGAGCAGATCCGCTGACGATGAATGCAACGCTAACTGAGCTGAATATGTCCATTAATCGAATCTCTGATCTCTACTTGTGAAGCAGTTTCATTGGCAGATGCATTGTGAGTGAATGGGACACTAAGTCAGCTCCATTATTGATGGTATACCGAGCTCAGTTTGTAACGTTCCGATACAAGTATCACGACACGGTTCGGATAGAATCAAAAGTGTCTCATTTTGAAAGCTTTGTAAACGTTAACGAACATTTTTTTATCTGCCCATTCCTTCATTTTACTAAACAGGATGGTTTTGAGTGGGTGAATAGCAGTTGGTCTCGTCTGATCACATGCTGGTATGCCAGTTTTTAGCTTATTCAGGATTACTAGCTTAGTCGATTTCCATATATCAGGGAATCTAACGGAGGAAAGTCAGTTCGACAAACACTTGACATAATCAAATGATAATAACTTTAGTATGAAATCCTTAAGGACCAGTTGCGATAAGGCCAATTTTTTTGGCAGAGCTATTTCCCAAAAAGAGACATATATTCGGAATTAGCACTGAATTCTGAGCAAAACGACGTGTTTTGTTCCATCGAAAAACGACTTTGATTTTTTTCAAACATTTTTCTTCCCAAAGACCCCCTCGGACAATCTAAAATCTTTTTGTCTTACACGACTTCAAAGGACCGATCACCCGGTGCAGAATTACATTCTGATTACGCTTAGCAGGTTCGTTTTGTACGAAAAGCTCCCTGGAAATGAAAAAAAACTTTTTTTGACAGCTGATTCATTTGTTCGCACTAGAGTCGTGTCATAAGGGAGAAGCTCATAGTTAAGGTTATTGCACAGGCATATAGTCTAAGTAATTGCACAAGGATATATTAACTGTTATGGTGCAAGACTATGGTCAAGGTTATTGCATAAGAATACTCAATGCTGTGGTGCAATAACATATTCAAGGTTATCGTGCAATATTTCGTGTATAAATTGATCAATTTTATTCTTAAGATATATCTTTTTTATTTGTAAATAAACGTTAGGTGAGAAAGATCTTAGTTCACTCGGGAACCTAACAATTGGTACACTTAGCCGGTGGGACCCTTAACTTTCTTATATAAATTCGATGCCATTGCAGATCTTGTCTTAACAAATTATACAAGAAGTATAACTTACAAAGTTGAAAGTTCTAAGGTGCCTATATACAATAGTTTTGCCATAAAATGATAATTTCAGCATTAGGCGTAATGACAAGAAAATTGATGTGTTTTCAACGGGAAGCGCTGAATGAAATTCCATTTAATTGGAAACGTATTAGTGTATCTCCAAATAATAGTCTTTCAAATGACCACATAGAGAACTTTTAAAAGTTCGAAAAGTAAGACTTTTTATAATCTTCTGACTCCATCAAAATAAATTTCCTTAGTTAACTTTATTATTGATTAATGTAACCTTGTAGAGAAAAGTTATAGAAAAATCTTCATTTGGGTTTTAAAAAGTAAAAGTTATTCAAAACCAGAATAAAGAGCCTCCAAAACAAGTAGCTGAAGCTTTTGCTACTTGATTTAAGGATCGTTGAATTAAACAAACGTCAGGATTTATAAAGCTTGAAAATGAGGATACGAGTAGTTTTTAAGAAGTTTTCCAAAGAATCATGTTAAGTTCCAGTTTTTCCAAAATTTAATTTTTGCCCAGGTTTGCCCACTTATGCTTCATCAGCACAGCCTTCTGCGTTCCAATTTGATGAAGACTGAGTATGTTGGGTTTTTGAAGAGACTTTCATATATTTTTTTGAACAAAACTCAGGGCTTTTTACAGGTTTTGCGCTTTTTATTAGAAGGCGATTAGCTCAATAAATGGTGAGCAAACACGGTTGGATTTAAGTCTAGAAGAGTAATGTCACTCTCCTGAAGGACTCTTTTAGTATTTTTGCTCGAAATTTTTCTGTTTCTGTCGTCTGGTATGCCATTTTGAAATAATAGTAAATCATTCAGTTGTTGATTCTTTTCTAGCTGAGTTAATATTCCGTCTAACCAAACATTAAACTCGACGTAATCGGGTTTCTTTCCCATTACAGCACATATCGCATTCCAAATGGTTTTAAATTCAATCATTTTCTCTGTGTTGCATAAATGATACGTTTCTCCGATACTTTCTGTTCGTTGTCCAGTCCATACAATAACTTGACTCGTATAATCGACTGGTGATAAATCCATCAAGCAGTCAACATCAGGCGCAACACCGTGCGTAATGAGTCCTGTAAATAATCGATACAGCCAATCTCGTTCATTGCATTTTCCACTCGTAGAACACCAAGATATCATTCCTTGAGAAAATGCAGACAAATTGGAACTTTATATGAGACTGTATTTTTTGTTAAATATTACCTGGTCTAAAAATTGTTACTGACAAACCCCTTTGTTTCGCTTGCTTAATGAGTGTTTCAGCAACCCATTTGCTCTGCATATAGCCACCTGCATTATTTAAATGATAATCATCAAGAGGTTCACCTTCATCCGCAGTTTTGTTTGTCAGTGATAAGATACTCATCGTTGATATGTAATTAATTCGAATTCTACTTGTAGAAGCGAGTTTAATAATTTCCAGCGTTCCATTGACATTAGCAGCTCGATGTGCCTCATAGTCTTTGACAAAATTAACCATGGCTCCGCAATGATATATTGTGTTGATTTCAAACGACAACCGTGTCCATGTAACGTCCGTAAGACCTAGTTGTGGTTGAGCTAAATCACCAACGATGGGTATAATTCGATTGATGTCTATTGTTGAATTCCATAAATCATAGTGTTTTAATACTTCAATGATTTTATCTAATTTTGACCATCGTATCAGACAGTATATTTTTGGTTTAACGGTCTGTGTTAGCAATTCATAGAGCAAATAAGCACCAAGAAATCCAGTACAACCAGTCAGAAATATATTACTCTCACACTCTCCCTTATAGTCATGAACAACGATCAATGGGTCTAATATAGCGTCATGTTTCATAAGAGTAGAAGATGAACTTCGCATGTGTCCAATACTATTTCCCATGCCGTATTTCGATCTGGCTAATGCAGTTAGTCGGAGAGCGCTCAGTGAATCACCACCGTACTTCACAAAGTCACCATCACGCAAATGACTAATAGCCATTATATCATCGATGATAGTTCGATAGAAACTATCCACCACTGTCCGTGCTAGTTTATTCGTCCGCGTTATCTTTCGATTCTCAACTGTAAACGGTTCAGGCTCTAAATAAACGGCCCACGGTATTTCGAAGGGTCGAAGATTCTGCTGTTCACCAACCTTTTTTAATTCTAACAGAATCATTTCATTTACTCGTGGGTTTTCACTCAAATCTTTAATATTTATGTATGATTCGACCATTTTCTTGGCCCAGTCAATCAGCACTGTCTCATTCGGTACAACGACGGCCATCACTGCGTTTTGATCACTGTACTTGATTATATCGGCGCATGTAATGAAGATTTGTTTGACATACAAAGACGATAAATAGATATTTTCCAGTCTTTCCGCAGCCACATATTCACCCTGAGCAATTTTAAAGAAATTCTTTTTTCGATCGATGATATTGATTCGTCTATCATCAATCAATTCAACAATATCTCCTGTACAAAACCAGCCGTCACTCAATGATTTGTTGGTATCATACGGGTTGTTATAATACCCCTGGATAGTAGTACGAGTTTTGACCCATAATTCACCTCGAGGATAGGGTTTGTCTGTATGATAATAACCTAAATGCAGAGAAAACGAAAATCAGTAATCATTTCTATCACATACTACACGAACTTAAGAGGGGTAAAGTATTCTATTACACCCAGAAGAAGTTCAAGAAGAGTTCGGCTTGTTCGTGTAACGAAAAGTTCATATACAGCTCGGGGAGGTCTTATTTAGAGGCAAAGGTTTTTCGCCAAATTAATTGTTAAGGAAATATCAATAGTTAATATATTCATTGGCTAACGTGTAAGATCGTTGACATGAACCCTGGATCATGCAAGCAGGGCATAGGTTGAAACGTGTATCCAGGCACGAGATAAATTGCCGACGTTTGGCTTGTCATCAATTAAAAGAAAAATGTGTACTCTTTAAAGTAGGACGTCTCCCAGGTCTATATTTACTTGCTTCGAGCCGCTGCTATCTTGGCAAAAGGAGCACACTTACGAAAAAGTCCATCGTTAGTAAAGGTAGCACTTTCTCTTTCCTACCTCTTTTTTTTATTAACAAAAGAAAAGTTTTTCTTTTTCTTACAACAAAAAAGGTAAAGATACAATCCATATCTTTTTTTTCCTAAGAAAAAGGAAAGTGGCACCTCTTAAGAAAGTCTTTTTCTTGCAAAAAAGAAGATGTTGAGTTGTACACCCTTTTCTTTCTTTCGGAAAAGAAAATTTACCGCTTTCCTTCTTCTTAGGAAAGAAAAGATATGGATTATATCTTTACTCTTGAAATAAAAGATACCACTTTATCGTTACTCAGGAAAGGAACGGGAAAGCGCCACCCCTAATCGTTAGCCGAAGAGGTTGAATACATGATTCAGTGGACTCTCACCTAGCTCTGGGACATCTTCGAGTTTGATCTCTACATCCGCTCGCAGTATGCCACCATTATTTGCTATGTGACCAGCTTCTGTACATCCGTAGCCTTCGTAGACTCGTTCCACGCCCAAACAGTCAAATAAGAAACGTTTAACAATGTCACCGGAAGGTGCTCCACCGGTTGTTACATAAGACAATCTCTCTCCAAACATAGATCTGAATTGTGCCAGTACTTTATATCTAATGTGGTCACGATCACTATCGTTATGTTTCTCTAGCTGTGCCAAATATTCTCGTTGAAACTCCAAATAAAGCACGTTCCAAAATCGGGGTGTACAACTCAAGATCGTTGGTTGTAACAGCTGAACATCTTCAAATATTTTGTGAGGTTCTGTGCATATTCCCGATCGCCCACCGCTACAAAACGTGTGATAGACATTTTCTCTTTCGGACATGGAACACAACGGTTTGAACACAATTTTAACCAGAGGATCGTATTGCGACAGTCTGTCACTAATGAATGTTTTCCAAAGTCCTTCGGTGATCATAGCACCTTTTGGCACCCCTGTGCTACCACTCGTATGGATGATACTGAAAAGGTCGTTCTCTTTGGCTGTCGTATCGACAATATCACGCCATTCACACTCATCTTCTTTATCATCGATGCTATCGAACAGCACGACTCGTTTCAATGTAGGACATTGTGGAAATAGGGTATGAAACCTCTTCTCTAATCCTTCTGTAGTACAAATGACACACTTAACTTGACAATTGTTCAACACTTTGATGAAGTCGTCATCGGTCATTTTCGTGTGTAAAGGGACAATGACGAACGATTGAAATATACAAGAAATATCGGCGACGATCCATTCCAGTGATACATCACCACAAAGACCGACAAAATCTCTTGCTTTTAGATCGTAATCAACAATCAAACGGTCACTGAACGAACGAACGCGGCGATAAATATCACTGAATGTGTACCACTTGTTAAATGGCGTCAAAGCAAAACACGGCCGATTCCAGTAGGAGTAAAATGATCGATTTAGAATATCTCTGATAGATGTACCCTTCTTCACCTTCTCATGATATTTACCAGTGGTGCAGTGTTGGATGAACATTCTATGTTTATGGACCGTCTTGTCCGCACAAACTAGACACATATCATAGCCTTCGCAATCTACACAGTGGTACCGTTTGACGCCATACTGAATTTCCTCATTACACACATCACATAAACAACTGTCCGTTGTCTTTGCACCCATTCGATAAGTGGTCTTGGCTTGCTGGAGATCCGACAGAAGGGCATTTTCCCGTTCGAGAAGAGTACGATATTCTTCGACAGAAGGACCCGCTTTGAGTTGATCATGTGTTTCAGCTAATTGTGATCTGAGTGTTAATATTCGATTCCTTATGTAATTCGAATACAAATCCACAACCATTGTTTTACTTAACTAAAAGCACAGCTAAACATGTTTTGGATGCAGATACGTTCATGCATTTGAAAGTGCGTTAAACAATGAAGAAAAGAATAAAGTACGATAAGTAACGAGCATATACAATAACAACAAAGGTAAACAATAAAATTACTGTGACATGTCGAAATTCCTTTTCTTATGATTACACTCACAGTTGTTAATAGCGGCAGAAAATTCATTTATGTCATTAGATTCTTCTAATCTAGTTATATAGAATTATGTGTAACAGTGGCTTTTTATTGCAGTTTCAGTTACAGATCGCTGTTGGGAATTCAACGACTCTCCATGTGATAATTGTTTTCACATTGACGATATCAACTGTTAATTCCTTTAAATCATCTTCTGGTCTAGAACTACGCTCATAACAATGTGAAAAAGCTTTTTTGATCAAGTTTGTTTTCCTCAAAAAGCACGATGGCCTGTAATTTACTCGAATACCAAAGAGGAGAACTGTTAGCGAGAATGCAGATGCATTCTTGAGATTGAGGTTTAAAACATGGGCAAAAAGATTCCAACAAGAGTGCCAGCACAGTTTTGATACCCATACGCTAAGATCATCGAGAAAAGGGGTCTAGTCAAATAGTATGCACTATTGAAAATACAATTCTGTTTCCTGTAGCGTAGTCAGAATGAAAGAGATTCGCTTACTCTCTTTGAATTAAAGATATTTCTTTCTACATGTTACTTGGTACCTGTCCAAGCTGCGCATACTTTTACCATTAACCCTTTACCCCCCCTTGGTCACTGGAGTGGCCATTTGTAGATCGATGGCAAAAAATTAAGAAAGGATGGAATTTAAAAACTTTGGGGAGATGTCTTGTAGTGAACTCCATAAGCTATCGATTGGTAAAAAAAAGTATTTTGTTTCGTT